TGATGATGCATGGAGGGGGGAAAAAAAAACAAAACACTCGTGCAGTTTTCTAAATTCGGGCTGTATTTAAATAGCTGGTAGTTGGGACTGGGGAAGTAAACTGAACACTGCACACAAAAGTAGTGAGGAGTTCCTACAAAAGTAGGTCTTCTGAGAGAAAGAAATTCTTCATCATAATGCAAAAATGATGTAAAGAGGAGCAAGCAGGAAAAAAAAAGTTCAGAAAAAGATATCCCATATCAACAGATGACAGAGCACACATCACTGGATGTTTTACTAAACTATGTCCAGTTACAATATTGTGAGCACTCATATGCCTCAAATACATAGCAAGCTTTGTCCCATTATCTTGAACTCCCTTTAAAAAGTTGGGAGAGCTTTCTGCTTTTCTAGAAACTGCAGCTGTCAGGGGCCTTCTCAGTGGCCGAGTCAGGAGCACAAGGGGAGCCTCAGCTCTGTTGAGCGCTGCGTCCGGCTCCTCCGGCTCCGCTTCCTGCTCATGGGCCGTGCTGCTCGTGAGAGGGGAGCACAGGCTGCACCGGCGCAGGCTTTAGGATGAGGTTGCACCTGGTGCCACCAAAGCTTGAGAAGAACAAGACCGCAGCAGCACAAAGAGGTTCCTCTCCCCTCCTCTCACCTGTCCAGGTGCGAGAGGTGACAAGGGACAAAGAGCTCTTTGGTGAAAGAGGCAGCAGTGGCAAGCTGAGAAAAGCAACCCTTTAACCAGGTGTGGCTAAAAAGGAGTTGGGAACCACTGCAGGAGACCTGGATACTTACCGGTAATCTAAAGATGAAGAACTTAGATTAGCAGTGTTTAGGAGAAAGCATTTTCTTGGCAAGTACTAAACAGAATAAAATTATCACCTCTCTTCCCCAATAAGTCATTAATCCAAGGAAGATATCTGCAAGTTTAACTTGCAAATATCCAGTTTTTCCAGGCTATTTTGATGCTGTAGCCACATATCACTATCAGTACTCTTTATCTTTTACCTGCTTGATGGAAAGTGAATTTGGTGTTCTACTTCTGAGCTCACTCCTTATTTGAAACCGTGGGGACTTCTACAGGCTTGTCACCATCTGCATCACCCTGGAGGAGGAAAAAAATAGACACAAAACCTCAAATGAGGCAATCCATCATTAATGTTTTTGCTAGAACAGAAACGCTCTTGAAAAGAGAAAACAAAGTTCCTGCAAAACCAAATGCTTGATGAGACTAATTCAGTAAGATACACTTGAATATGATCATTTCCCGAAGTGTTTCTAAATTTCAGACTTCCTGTAGTTAGCTCCAAAATTAAAGAATTTAAAAGAACAAGTAGTTCAACAGAAATGCTTTAATTGACTCGTTTTTGCCTGCACTAATGGCAGAAGATGAATTCCCACAGATTAGTTGCCATTTTGCATTCTTTGAATTCTGTGTTGATGTATACAATGGCCCTCTTTTACCACATACCCTTTGAAAGCGTGTTCTCACACTTCCTCTGAAATAAATGATAGAAATCAAAGAATGAAGAAAGGCTTGTTAGAGCATCTGGTCCATTTATTTGCCAAGGATACGACAACAGTCATTTGATTACAGTCTTAAATAGATATCAATACAAAAAAAAAAAAAAAGCAAACTTAGATGGGCACATACATGGTGAGGGGACTGCAACACAAGACATACAAAGACAGGTTCGCAGATCCCGATCTGTTCAGCCTGGAGAGGACAGGACAAAGGGGACATGCAGGTGCTCTATACAGCTATTTAATGAGTTTTTATGTCTTTGACAGCGCCAGGCTCCTCTCAGAGGAACAGCACAGCAAAAGGACATAAGGCAGAGAACACTACTGCAGCACGAGAAATTTCTGTTATAAACAAGATTAAAAAAAAAAATCATATGCTCAAACCCTGAAATCATCCTCAGCCAAGATCCAGGGAGGCATTCATCAAAGAACACTTTACTTAAAGACTTTCTCACAAGGTTTAACATCCTGCAACTACATTACAAAACTTAAATGTACTTAAGGTGCAAACATCTCAACTATTTATTCATATTCCAAATATGTGTAGCAAGAGCTTTAAAAAGTAACTCTTTCCTCAAGGTAAAGCCATTCTGTTTTCCTCACAATTCCAGACAGTGAACCCTTAAGTGACATCATATCTACAAAGTATACTCATTTCAAAGTAACAATCTACTCTACACAGGAACTTGTAACTTATGACATTTTACAGCTTGACTCATAAAGGCTGATCTCAGGGGTTACAGAGTTCTGAACAGCCGAACTAAAAATGAATTGTTCATAAAAGTTCTATGTTTTTCCACTTGTCTGCTTTTGTTGAAAAAAATGAATTACTAGAGCTTTTTTTTTTTTTGATCCTGAGAGAAAAGAAAACAAAAAACTATTAAAACATATGGGAAAATGGAGGTCTTGCTCTGTTTCTTTGTTTTTGTGAGAATAGGAGGTCTCACAGAGCTTATCTTCACTAATGGGCTGAATTCAAGTCTTTCCACTTCCTGGCTCACCACAACCACTTCCTAATATAAGCGATGGCCAGAAGAGTTTATGCGCCAAGCACTAACCCAGGAGAAGCAGCAGCATTTTGCATTCTTCCATATCTGACAGCTTCAATGGAAAACATAAGAAACCTCCATAAGCACACTCCATAAGTCACTTGTAAAGTATTGAATAAACTGGTATTGGGACAAAAAAAATCCCAATTACCAATAAATTGGTAATGGAATTAAAAAAATTCATTTTTTGAAATTAAAAAGAATATTGGAATCAATAGGACTGTAAACAATGGATTCTGTAAGTCTTTTGTAATGATTGCTGTGAAAGTACTCCTTTCATCCAGAAGGAAATCCCCATAAACAACCTGGCCTTATGTTAAAAAAAGAGTTGTTTTTTTTCCTCACATCGCAGCATTAGAGTCCAGTCTGAGGTCAAAGTCAATTTCAGTTTCGACTGTCACCTCTGAAAATGTCGTGCAGATGTCCAGGCCATTTTATACCTGCTCCGAACCTTAGAAATCCTTCCTTACTTAATCGTTACTTATCTAATCTTGAGGATTAGATGCATATCTTTTATGGTTATGGAAAATTCCTAAAAAGTAGAGTCTGGCCATTAGCGAGGAAAAAAAAATCATCTGCAGAAGGAAAACAAAGCATTTAGGCTCCCAGATTAATAATTTACTCTTCTCTTGGGTCTCTTCTATTTGCAACATATTGCTTAGAATAATGATAATATCACTGCTTTATCTTATTTGCTCTTTCCCAGATAATCAACAACAGTTACTCTTCATCTTCTTAGTTGGGCTTGTACTCGAAGCAGTTTTAAAATGTTAACTCAGTGTGTTTTAGACTGTACTAAAGAAAAACAGAAACTTTTCTTTCATAAAATGGTAGATTATTTCTTTTCCAACTTTATGACATATATATATTCACCATAGCTCAAACTGTGGATCCAATCCAAAAATGTTCATTTTTTTTTTACACAAGTTTCACTCTTTGTTGATCTTACTGCGAAGCAGCAACAGGAAAGGGCACGACAGTAAGCAGTATTTTCTGTCAGCAGTGGATATTTATCATTTAGTTAATGGAGTCAGATGACCATCTTCTGCCTGTCCGTTGAGCAGCTACTGAAGACAAGTCTAACTGCACTTACAGCAAACAGAATCACCCTCGGCTGCGTATGCTCTGTTTTAAGAGATACTCAAAACTCAAGGGACTTGCAGCTGTCCTCCCAAAGCACAGTTCGGGCTCCCTGTGAAGCTGAGCAGTCCAGACGCTGCAGTTTCCACCTTGGGGAAGCCGCCTTCGGACGGGCAAACTCCAGCCGCGCAGTTTCCTGCGCGGGAAACGAGCGCCAAAGCGACGCGGTCTTTGCACTTGGAGCAGCCTGGCACTGGCCCACGCTTCATGAACTGTCCCCAGCTTCGGTCGGCTAAAAACATCCTCATCCAGCATTCGTACATCACACACAGTTTCTATCAGCAGACCAGGCTGGGATGAAAAATAAGCAGCAAGGTGCAACAGCTTCCCTCGTACCTCTCAAGCCGTCTAGGCAGCTTGAGGAGATCAGGCAACAGGCAATGAGGAAATCAGCTCTAAAATCCTGCTGCAGACTGGAGCAAAAGGAGACAGAGCACTAACAGGAAGAAAGGCACCAGAGCTGAAGAGAAGGGTTCTCAAAGCTCCAGTGCTGCACACTGTAGGGGGTGCTGGGTGCAGAAAGCTCCGGCTTTTTACATGTTGGCCCCTTCACTAAAAACCATGAGGACCAATTCAGTATCAGCTGCTAAAGAGAAGATGGAGAAAAGAGCACAAGAGGGAAATAGTATCTAAAATAGATGAAAATATAACAAACTCGGAGCGGCAGAAAGGCAGAACAAGGAAAAGAGGAGTGCAGAAAATTGCTTTTGTGGGTTTTCTGTACCTTTTAGCTGACTGGCTGACCTGGCCTTAGGCTACTTGGCGTCATAACACAAGCTCTTGTCACTTGAAGATGAAGCCACCATAGTGCTGGAGCCAAGTCTCGCGTCAACTCAGGGCGGTGGGACAACCCGACGGCCCAATGCAGCAGTACAAACGACCAAAGGATCTCAACAAGCAGCAGAAAGGGAAGGGCAAAAAGCTGCCCTCCATGAAAATAAACATCTGACAAGCAGGAACTCACGCTGAAAAACAGGGCCTGCTCTTTACAAAACTTGCAGATGGCCTGTATTAAATTGTTGCTCTGAAACACTGATTTTTAAGCAGTCTTCCATAAAGAAACTATAATCCTTTGGGGGGAGGAAAAAAAAAAAGTCTACAGTCCTTGAAGTTATGGTAGTGCACAAAAATCCTCTGGCAACTTTGCTTAGTCCAGCCCTTTGTCCCAAGAGCAGATACTAAAGCTGACAAATGGCCAGTATTAAGCAGAGACCATCTGAAAAAAAAGATGCAATTCACCAGCTGGGATCCTCAACTAGTAACAAGTTTTTATAGGCAATGGAAGGCCAAGCTACAAGAAGGGAAAAAAAATATTGAGAAAGGAAGTATTATACAGAACCACAGAATGGTTGAGGCTGGAAGGGACCTCTAGAGATCATCCAGTCTAACCCCCCTGCTCCAGCAGGGACACCTAGAGCACGTGGCACAGGGTGGCATCCAGGCGGGTTTGGAAGATCTCCAGAGAAGGAGACTCCACAGCCTCTGTGGACAGCCTGTTCCAGGGCTCTGTCACCCTCACAGGAAAGAAGTCCTTACTCATAAGGAGGTGGAACTTACTGTGTTTCAGCTTGTACCCGTTACCCCTTGACCTGTTGTTGGCCACCACGGAGAAGAACCTGGCCCCATCCTCCCTACATTCACCCCTCAGGTACTTGGAACATGTTAATCATATCTCCTCTCAGTCTTCTCCAAACTAAACAGGCCCAGCTCGCTTAGTCTTTCCTCATACAATAGATGCTCCAGTCCCTTAATCATCTTTGTGGCTCTACGCTGGACCCTCTCTAGAAGCTCAATGCCCCTCTTGTATTGGGGAACCAGAACTGCACCCAATACTCCAAGGGCGGCCTCACCAGAGCTGAGCAGAAGGTGAGGATCACCTCCCACAGCCTGCTGGCAACGCTCCTCCTCATGCAGGCCAGGATCCCATTGGCCTTCTTGCCCACAATGGCACACTGCTGCCTCATGGTTAACCTGTTGTCAACCAGGACTACCAGATGCCTCTCTGCGGAGCTGCTTTCCAGCAGGTCAATCCCTAATCTGTAGTGGTACCTGGGGTTATTCCTGCCCAGGTGTAGGACCCTGCACTTGTCCTGGTTGAACCTCAAGGTTCCTCTCTGCGCAACTCTCCATCCTGTCCAGGTCTCTCTGAAGCCCTCGGCCCCCGGGAAGCCCACAGCCCTCGGGAGTGTTGGCCACTCTTCCCAGTTAGGTGTCATCTGCAAACTTGCGGAGGTTGCACTCTCTCTTCTTCCAAGTCACTGATGAACAAGCCAAAGAGCACCGGGCCCAGTACTGACCCTTGTGGGACACCACTGGCCACAGGCCTCCAACAAGACTCGACCCCATTTATCACCACCCTCTGGGCTCTGCCACCCAGCCAGTCCTCAATCCA